GGGGGGGGGAAGGGGGGAGAGATGGAGCAGCCCCAGGGGCCCGCTGCTGCTCTGGCCGCCACCGGGAAGGGGAAAGCTATGGAGGGCCTGCTGCTGCTCCAGCCACTGCTGGGAGGTTGCATGAAGTCACGGAGCCCTAACTATAACTCCCAAGTGACAGATAAAATATATCTTCCATTATGTTCTGCTCCCAAAGCCTCTCATCTTGAAGGATCTCCAAGTGCTTTAGAAACTTGGAAAGATAAATTCTATACAGGGATCACTTCATTCACCACTGAAACAACAGCTCTTTCAACAGCACAGAGCAACATTTCTGCACCATAGCTTAAATCGGGAGCAAAGATTATTGTGTTCAACTGAAACTTCAAGGGGAATTTAAGTAAAATTTAATTACCCAGACTGGAAATTTGTCCAAAACACCACTATTGACACCAGGAACGAAATGGGGATATTTAATGACGGCACACGTTTAAGACCTTGGGTTTAAATTCCATCAAAAAAACAAAACAAAACAAACCCCAGAGATATTCCTCCCAAGCAAGCGGGCTTTGAAAGACTGATTCAGATGGGAGGCCTGTAATGAGGTTTTTTCTTTTTTAAGCAGACAAAGAAGTCAGAATGAGAAAACAGAAATAGTTACCAATGTGGCAAAGTATGTTACCAGATGACAGGAAATACCTTCACAAAGCAATTTTTTTCACAACAGAAAAGGAAAAAGACAAGTTAGGTTGTTAATCTATATAAAATATTTGTAAATACATTACAACAGACCATGGGGCAATATTAGCTGCAGTATCCCAATAGCAAATCATCTGAAATGGGAATTTTCCTTTCCACGAACATCTCAAGATGACCATTACCACAGCCAACAACAACCTGAAAATAGACACTAAATGACTATGAACCGTAAACGGCTCACTCGTTTATAAATGCAGAAACAGCATTATGACCATCTTTGACTTAATGCTGCAAGCCCTTTCAGAATAAGCTCACTCATGCTAGAGGTTTAAAGAATTGATCATCTGCGGTAATCATAGTGTTTCTAATAGAAGAGCCTTGATTGTGTTTAGTTGGTTAACGCCATAATCTTGTCAGCTCATTGGCGCTCTGAAATAAATCTGTTTCTCTCTCCTTGTGTTGCTATCCGTTCCCCTTCTTTTTCCAGTCTAGTGAATGGAACTATGACAATGACAATGGAACTATGACAATTTACACCATCTGAGGATCTGTCCCCTGGGCTCTTCACACTGCATCACTATTCAAATCCACAGTGAAAAAATGATACAAATTAGAGATAAATGCACACTTGCCTTGGAAGGAATGCAGCCAACATTCAAACAGGTTCCACCCAACGTTTCATTTTTCTCCACACAAACAGTCTGGAATAGAAGAGGAGAAAACCCTTTTAAAGCCATACTACATTTTTATTTCCTAAAAGCCAGATTTGAAAATCTCAATGAATACCAATGACAAAGGAAAATTACTCTTCCTGTAATTCTACTTCTCACAAGATATTGTGCAGGATTCTCGTTCCTGGGTTTAGCTGGAGACTGATTTGAACTCCCCTAGCTCTTCACTCTCTCTCTCTTATTTTTTTTAAACAAATCCTTTTTGAGCAATGACAGCAGGGTAACCCACTGTCACCATTTATACTTGTAAAGTATAAACACTGCCCTTCCCCTTCAAGTGTTTCAATAAGTTCTTTCAACTGAGCAGGAGTTGAATCTCTCTGAAAGATGATTGCCTTGAATTAAATTGACATAGGATCAAAAAATGCCTCAGAATAATGAAAAACAAGGTGAAATAGGGAAAGACAAGTAAAAAGAGAACCTTTAACACTGAGGGGAATGGATTGGTGAGTAAATCTTGTGAAATGATCTTCTCCACCTTGAGAGAAACAATTACAAGGCAAGTAATGTTTCCCTCTATAAAAATACCACCACCTTGTGGGATTCTCACTTCAAGAGTAAGAAGTTCTAGGGATATCCCAGAAGAAAAATGAAAATAAAGCTACTCTGAGCAGCAATAACAAGGCCAATGTCAACTGTTTAAACAGGGAGAAAGAAAGGATGGATAGAAGAGATCTCTCTCTTCAAAATCCATCATCAGACAACATACATCCAGAAAGGTATCAGTCAGGAACAACACCCTGTGCAAAAATTGGCTAACAAAAAAGGGACACTTGGAAAGAAAACAAAACTTTTCTTGGAAACAAGAAATCTTGGCCTCTCCTCCTTGCAAACAAGTTCTGTAGTGCACAGGGTTCAACATGGGAGTCCCTCATTTTGGGAACTGTAAGTTTAACTCTGTCTGGAGGAGAATATCCGGGTGAAGTGCTTCAACCGTTTCCTTAAATTTCTCATTTTCTGCCAAAGCAAATGAGACGTTAGCAATAAATCTGCTAAAACAAAGTTTAAGTCCCTTTCCCTTCTTATATAATAGTATAATCATTGATTGATCTTTTCCGTTTTGCGTGTGAAGACCAAAACCACTCCTGAACCAAGCTGATGTTGAAGAGCTGCTGGAAAGCCCAGAACAGGGACTTATTGAAGGTATGTTTTGAAGCTAAAACTTTTTTCAGCTGCCTTCAAGACCATAGCAGCTGCATTCAGCCACGCATTATTCATGGGCTGGTCCAAAACAGGATACAAAGGCATGGTAACCCTTTTGAATGGGGCTTCCAGGCCAAGATACCTCTAAGCTATAGTCCTTGTAGATGCCTTGACCAGCTTCAATTAGAAGTAGCTGTCTTGAACAGTTTCTGCAAGGATTGAGGAAAGGCAGGATTCTCCCCTCAAGACTCACTGTCACTTCTCCACAGTGATGTATTCAGTATCAGATGACTTTTCTGTTTCATCTGAATCCAAACAGCAGCTCTCATCATCCTAACTGTCAACAAGCCCTTAGTCTGGTGACTGGAATTCACTAGGCAAGGGTGTCATAAGTGCTTTGATAAGAACCAGTGATGGCTGTGCCAGTGTACGAAGCGCCAGTGTCAAGGCCAGAATTTCTTGCATTGAGCACAGATTCCTCCCATCGCTCTTCAAGCACATGAATGCAGGAGGGGCAATCCAACATCTTTTTGACTGCTGCCTTAAGGAGCTACTGGCTCCCTTCTGGCACCTCCTGCCTTTATCCCATGTGGAGACTGTCTCATCCAGTGAGCCATTTTTCTAAGTACCATCAACTACAAGTGCCAAGGCCTCACCTAGTGCAATGAGAAGCCAATACTTATTGGAACCCTCTGATTCAACCACAGCACATACTGCTTCAATGGTAAAGCCACCACACTGGTCTTAATGGGGCCTATGTCAATGCAGCTAGCACTAACACTCAATGTTGGGGTGCAATGGATTTGTCTGAATCAGGTTTTTGCTTTAAGGGCTTAAACTTCAAAGAACTCCGTTCCTCCTTATGCCAGATTGAGAGGAGTCTCCCACTGGATCACCTCAAAGAGGGCTTGAAGGCACTCCGCATGTTTCTTCAATGCTTAGCATGACACATCCAAACATATTCAGTACCCCTGCACACCACAGATGAGTCTGAGGCAGACAATGCAGACTGATCAGGTTTGAAGCCTCCCTCCTTAGATGTCACACCTATGACACAATGCATCATGTATAAATGTCTCGAAGGGAACATTGGACCAAAAGAGAAGTAGGCATAGAGCCACAAAAAGAAATGTAGCATCAAAAGAATGGAACAGGAACTAGGGAGCCAAGTAGCCTTAAGGCTCCTAATAAAAGCTGTAGTGCTGAGCACTTTAATTCAGGTACTGGTGCATCAATTCTGGGAAACATCAACAAACAAAAGACCTCAGTCATACCAGGGTACTGGCCACCAACACACAAATGAAGGGTCAAGGCAACAGAACTATTTGCACTGAAGCACTGAGACAGGCACCATAGTGTTAGAGGCAATGGACTCTCATTTAGCACAATTGTACCAGACCTGCATAGAAAGCAAAAGGATACTAAAGGATTCCTAACAAGGCATCATTGAGAATAAAAAAAACTGGCGCAATGGCCAGTGAGCCATACGATGCTGCAGGGACTGTGGTCACAAAAAGAACCTATCAGAACATCCAGAGGGCAGCATTTATACTTGGGTGGAGTTGGGACATGACAGCCAGTAGGGGCCTGGAAAATAATATTCTGCAACTACCACCCTCCAGGAGGTTAAAAAAACCAAAAGCTCTTAAAACTAAGGGAGTTTCACCAGTAAAGCTATGTTCATGAAGTGAGAATTGTGCTGAGATGTGACACACTGACAATAGCCTGCAATATCCTGAACAAACCTTACTGAATTAAGTTAAACCTTACTGCTAACTGTTGAAGTAAGTTAAACCCCAAAGGTGGGGTGATGCCTGGCAAGCTTATGAGCAGATGTGTAGGTTCTTTTGTTGTCTTAATATGTTTTCTCTGTAATGCTTTTTACCTTAAGAATGAAGTAGGCTTGCTTAGAAAGAACTGCGTGGTAACATCTACCCAGAGCAACCTCTGTTACCGGTCTCTGAAGAGAAAGCAAGTAGGTCTATTTAGGCAGACTATCTTTGCTGGGAAATACACAGTGAAAGCAGGGAACTGTGCAGCCTGCACATATCCTGGTCACAGGGAAGTGAGATGCGGGTCTCCATCCAAGAGAGGCAACAGCTGGGGAGCTAGAAACCTAAGAGTGGGTGCCCTTGCTGGACCACTGAGGGGAAATGTAGGGCAGTTGTTCTGAACTGTGATAATATCTTTAGGAAAATATATTTTCGTCTCTCAATATTTTCAAAAATTACTCTAGAAAACTCATTTACTTCCCATTGTTCAGAGAGTGAAACAGAGGTCACTTGAATCATCTGTCTAAATTATGAATAACTAGTACCCATTACATGAAAGCTGCTTTGTTCATAAAGGACATTCAAAGGAGGCAGAGGGAATAGCAAAAAGAACAAGCTCATGCATATAAATTACACCCAGGATAATCTATATCTATAGTCTCATCTCCAACATTCAGTCCATGTATTTAATATAGCCCCAAGTCAACTTTATTCATGTTCATGACAAACAGTACTTAACCGGTCACTCTGGCATTAAATAACTTTGGCTTCATTGCAGAGGCACATTTCCACTGCTCTTCACCACACTAATGATTCTCTCTTTCCACCAATTTGTTTTTCAGAATAAACGAATGTGGTGATGAGTTCCAGGAAATTCTGCATTTACATATGAAAAGTGCTACATAAGACTTGGGTATTATTTTTATTGGTGTTCTCTCAGCCAATTTCACAGAATCTCTCAGCAGTTAGGCACTACGTTTGTTATTCATTCTGATCCTTTTTGGCAGATTGCCTAAAAGTTGCTTTTGATTAGAACCCAGCAGTTTTGTTTTTTGGAAGAAAACTACTTTTCCTCTTGGCATTCTCTTTACTACTTTTATAAATATGCTTCCCTCTCCAGTCCAATTCATTTTATTTAAAATGTAGCTGTTACACCTCTTAGTGACTACTGTTTACCATTGGTTTCAGTCTAATCTATACATTCTAAATAAAAATTAAGCTAATTTGACGGCCCTAACGCCAAGTGACAAAAATCAACCATGACTTATTTTAATAATCACAGTTCAAAAGATACTAACAAACCAACATGAAAAATGGTGCCTCTACAGTCAGTGTCTGCTTAAGACAAAGTTAAGGACGTTAATCTACAGCATGGTCTAGTAGTGGATACAGCACTGGATTGGACATGGGAAACCTGGGTTCTAGTCACACTTCTGCTACGGGCTTTCAGGTCAACTTGGACAAGGCACTTCCCCCTATCTATGCCTCAGTTTTCACATCTGTAAAATGGGGGAAAACGATACTGACCTCTGTAAAACGCTGAGCTCTAATGATGATGAACACTATATAAGAACTAGTTATTACTATTAATCTGGAAATGAAATCAAGTTCTCACAATGTGGGTGTCCCAAGCTACAAACAGCCCTGGGAAACCAGAGCAGATGCTCCCATTTAGCCAGTTAAAAGAGCGAGCAAGCATATGTGGATTATATAGGACCAGGGAGAGACTCAGTGAGAGGAAATCCCTGAGAATCTGAACAGACTGGTTCTATTTGGAAGGGCAGGCAACAGATGCCTGGGAGAGCGAGTCTACAGAGAGTGGAAAGCTCTGTAGGCTCTCCTTGGAAAGAGGGAGGAATTGGCTAGGAGACTATGAGAGCTGGGAGGATAACACCAACAGGAGTTTGCTGGCTGGGCCAGAGGGCTGGAGCGGTCTCAAGGCAGGAGGAGCAGCAACGGGCGCTGCCTGCTGTCCGAAGTCTCGGGCTGAAGGCAGGGGAGCAGCAGAGGGGCTTACTCACTGACATCTTCAGGGCTAGGGGGGTGGACCCACATGAACCATGAGAGGGCCAGGAGGAGGGATATTCCCCTAGAAAGGATGCTCCCAGCAAGGTGTTTCCTGCTGGGACGATCAAGTTTGCAATTCAGTTGAAAGGGCTGAGGTGGACTGTGCTGGAGAGTCGGGGCATGGTGGGGGCTGCCAAGGCAGTATGTTGCATGTACGCATTGGACTATGCTGGTGAAATTTGGATGATGGTGTTGGGGCTTATTTTGTTATGATTTATATGCATGAGACTTCTGTAATCCTTCCCCTCCCCCCGGCTATATTTATACTTGGGAAGATGCTTTGGATTATTTTGGGACAGGCTGGAGAGAAACTGAGGCAGGTGTGCCTGTCAGAACACAGCCTGCATCAGGAGGGTGCTCCCAGTCGGGGTTGCCCAGTGACAGGGAACTTCATTTTTCCAGTGTTGCAAGAACCCCTACTGAATTTATCTGGATTAGTGCTATATTACCGGGTTTATCCAGCACAAGTTCCCTCTTACCTTAAAGCCAAGTTGAGCTGCTTTGATAGCAGCAACATATCCTCCAGGCCCAGAACCAATAACTGTGATGTCAGCATCAGCTAAAAGAAAAAATACAAACTTTAAAATGTTTTCAAGTTACTTTTCTTGCTATAATTTAGGTTTATTTTAGTTTTACTATAGGAATACCTAGCCTGCAACATTCTGGGATAGTTCCACACATTGACTATCCACAGCGTGAGAGAGAATATATAGCTAGTTTTTAAAAATGATGGTGCTGTTCAGTGAATTAAGACACGTAAATTTTGACTACTGAAAGCAACCTCCTGAATCAAAAAATGGAATGGTTCATGGACACTATTTGTTCTGTATATAAAAACAACCACTCTTACAGATTTGAGAACAAAAGCACTGTAAATTGAGGTAAAGGGACTGAATTCTGGTCTGACCTGCACTCCTTGCATCTACTCTGGGATTGCATATGCTATAAATCTTTGTAGAATTTGGCCAAAGGTATTTGTAGTTATGTTTAACTGCCTTTGAAAAAACTGTTACAAGAAAGGACTTGAACGTGTCATGTGGCATTATTACAGATATTAAAAAAATAAGGAGAATGCTGATAGACTAATGTTACACCTTTACATTGTCCTGTGCGTGAACAGGGTTAGGTTACACATCTCACGCTCAATAATCAAGAGAAACTGGCATATGAAGCAGAGTCTTCATATTTAGCTCCCAGACCATAGAAAGATTAACTTGTGATCCACAAAAGCAACCCTTCCACATCATTTGTGCAATGTAAGAAAAATGGCATATCTGATTATTTTAACCTCTAACAATAATAATGTATAAATGATTAGTATAGTCAATCCAACCCACTGCATGCCATCACCTGATATCTATGTTGTAGAACAGGGGTTCTCAAACAGGGGGTCACAAGGTTATTACCTGGGGGTTGTGTGCGGTCAGCCTCCACCCCCAAACCTTGCTTTACCTCCAGCATCTTTAAGTGTTATAGATTAAAAAACACATGTTTTTATATTTAAGGAGGTCGCATTCAGAGGCTTGCTATGTGAAAGGGGTCACCAATACAAAAGTTTGAGAACCACTCATACCATCAACCCTGATGGTACAATTGTCTCCACGTGGATTGGCTCTTGTGGCTGCAGAATCACTTGTAAGATTGGGGCCTCAATTCGAAATACAACTTTGTCTCCTGAAAGCTATTTTACAGCAATCAAAATTTACCTAGATCAGCATAGCTCCTCAGCGACACTGCACAAATCCCCTGTAGGCCATGATGGATTCGACTAAAATGGCTTCTCTGGAGAGGGGAAAAAACAAAAGTTTAACTTTCTCCATAAAGAAAATAACTGTATACGAATCAGCAACTTCTCACAATCTGTTTCATTAGAAAATCCAATTACATTAAAAAATAGGTAGCAGTAGTGAGTTCAGTGGATAGTGCACTGCTCTGGGATACGGAAAACCTAGCTCTGCCACTAATCTGCTGTGCTTCCTACAGCAAATCATTTCATCTTTCTGTACCCCTGTTTCCATTCTAACCTTTATTGTGTTCACTTAGATTGTAAGATCTTCAGGGCAAGAACTGTCTCTTACCACACGCATGCATAGCATCTAACACAAAAGAGTCAAAACCTGTTTCACAGCACAAACCAGCTACTAACTGCTAGGATTAAGAAGAAACAACCCTTATTATCCTGTAACTGTTAACTACATGGTATCTTGCAACTTCCTCTGAGCATCTGATACTGATCACTGTTGGAGAAGAACTCCAGACTAGATGCGCAACTGGTATTGTAATTCCTATGGAAAACAAAACCTATATAAATACATTTCCCATATGTGGCTAGACAATACCTTTGATCACTCTACTAATATGCTGTACTCCTTTCCCCATCCTCTGCTCTTATATTGTGAGCGCCTCAGAGCAGGGATTGACCTTTTCTTTTAGGAAAGCTACTATACAGCAGGCATTATCAGATAGTAAATAATGGCAGCACAGATTACAAAACCCCATTCAACCTTTTCTGTGGAAGGACTGTGGGGCAATTCGATAATAGACCATCTTATTGCTCCATTTTACAGTTACTTCCCGAATGGGAGACAGGTAGGGAATAGTCATTTTACCCCTTATCCACAATTCAGTTGTCTAAGAGGATAAACAACATTTCATCTTATCTCACTCACTCACAGTACCTATAAATATGGGGAAAGGGTAAGACAGACTTTGGTTTAAACCTAGGGATAATTACGAAGAGTGTATTCAGGGAAAGGAACATAAAAAAAATCAAGCAATTAAAAAAAGTAATCACAATTAATTGTGCTGTTAAACAATAATAGAATACCATTTCTTTAAATATTTCTGGATGTTTTCTACATTTTCAAATATATTGATTTCGATTACAACAGAGTGTACAGTGCTCACTTTATATTTATTTTTTATGACAAATATTTGCATTGTAAAAAACAAAAGAAATAGTATTTTTCAATTCACCTAATACAAGTACCCTAGTGCAATCTCTATCATGAAAGTTGAACTTACAAATGTAGAATTATGTACAAAATAATAACCGTATTAAAAAAAAATGTAAAACTTTAGAACCTATCCTCTTAGTCCTACTTCTTGTTCAGCCAATCACTCAGACAAACAAGTTTGGTTACAATTTACAGGAGATAATGCTTCCTGCTTCTTGTTTATAATTTCACCTGAAAGTGAGAACAGCTGTCCCCATGGCACTCTTGCAGCTGGCATCGCAAGATATTTACATGCCAGATGCGCTAAAGATTTATATGTCCCTTCATGCTTCAATCACCATCCCAGAGGACATGCGTAATAAAAGTGTTGGGTAATAAAACCAATAGGCCCGTACAATAGCCCTAAGAGTTATTATGGAGCTGGCTGATGGAGAAGAGGGGCTCAAGCAACAGGCTATTTCAAGGATGGCAAAATGTGGCTCGCGAGCCACATGCAGCTCTTTTACAGTTAAAGTGCGGCTTGCAGAGACACCCCCCCGCCCAACCGCTCCCCAATGCTACACCTACCAGACTTGGGCAGGGAGCTCGGGACCTATACCTTGAAAGGTGTGGGGATATTCATGAAAACTTGGATCCTGGTTTTGCCTGAAAACCAGCAGCTCTGTCAAGGACTCAGTTCTTGGGAGCAGATCTACTTTATTAAAGAGGAAAGGTAACCCTTAAAAAGTGTAGACCTAGGATTGCATTTTATGCTTTGTTTTGTGTGTGTAACCAATTATGTTTCCACTAATCTTTTCTCAGTATGACAAATTGCAGTCTGTGTTAATAAATGTGATTGCTTTCACTATAAATATATTTCAGTGCTGTAATGTTACAACGGACCTGATCCTGAGTTGTATCAGTCAAGCCGTGTGTACATTGTCTCTTTGGGGACAGCTTACCTGGTAATTACTGTGAGTGTACAGTGATGGGCTGGATACTGCAGGGAGCACTGGGAGGACCGGGGGCAGGAGGGGAGGGAAGGGGGAGAGAGAGTTGGTGTATACCGAGCACTAGCCTGCACAGAAAGGGTTAGGTCTGCATAGACCTGGAAGTAAGAGCTTGTGGGCCTAGAAGCTGTTGGTTTCAGGGAGCTGAGCCACACCAAGCATAGACAAGACTGCTTCACACTAAGGGCCGGTAGTGGTGAGATGCCTTACAACCTTGGCTAACACTGGAGCATGTCACACTGTGCCTCTTCCCCCCCCCAATGCTCTGAGCTGCATAGAAGGGATCTTGATGCCTGTTGCTTGTGCCCCATTTCCCAATGCCCTGAGATTCTCCCCTTCCCCGTTTGTTCTCCTGTGTGCTGGCCCCACATTGTCTTCATATCCTCACACTGACTTGAAAAGCAAATGTAGCACACTGTGCTGGTTTTACTATGCTTAATCTACATATCGTATGATTTTAGGCAGACGTGACTATACATCCATGATTATACATCCATTTGTCTGGCAAAACCAGTTTTTCACCTCTAGTGGGGAGTAACTCCTTGACATCAACCATAAGGACATATTTCCAGTATTATATTATCAGTATAGAGACAATTTTTACAATACATACATTTCACAATAGTATTAAGGACCAGCATGATCATGGCTTTCATTTAATATCTCATACAATGTTCTATATAAATACAGTGACAGCAAAGTAACCTAAGAGTTGCTGCTGCTACAGAACAGTGAGCTTTTTGCCAGTTGGCACCCAAGGGGCTCTTAGGGTCATACGCAGGCACCAAGGTGGCCCCTGCCCAGCTCAGGGGACGGGGGGACCGAGACCCCCCTCTGCCCAGGTCAGGGGAGGCGGGGGAACGGGGACCGAGACCCCCCCTCTGCCCAGCTCAGGGGGCGGGGGGACCGAGACCCCGCTCTGCCCAGGTCAGGGGGGGCGGGGGAACGGGGACCGAGACCCCCCTCTGCCCAGCTCGGGGGGGGCGGGGGAACGGGGACCGAGACCCCCCTCTGCCCAGCTCGGGGGGGGCGGGGGGCGGGGAAGGGCTCACGCAGCACAAGCTGAGGGGAGGGGTCACGGAGCAGGCTGCATCCCCCCGTGCTCGGAGCTAGGCGGGGACCTCAACGTCCGCACCCTGCTGGCCCGGCCCCCGGGGGAAGGTGAGTGCCCGCTGGCCTGGCCCGGCCCAAGGCCCAGAGCGAGGTAGAGGGTCGGGCCCCCCCGCTCCCGTAGCTCGGTGCCCCCGGCCGTGTCTGTATCCCAGGCCCAAGCCGGGCCTGCAGGGCCCAGCGCCGCTCCCCCCGCCCGCGCTGGCCGGGCCGCTACCTGGGCGAGCGCGCAGCAGACCCGGCTCCAGCTCTGCATTTTCCGGCCGCCTCAGCTTTAACCTCGCGTCCGAGCACCTCGTCCCTGGCAGCCGCGCCTCCAAGGTCTCCGCGGACTCGCGCAGGCGCACTAGGCCCGGCGAGGAGGCGACGACGCTGTGACCGAGTGGCGTCGCCTGAGCCCCGCACAAGGGCGCAACACTCCCCCCTGGCGGAGGCGGCCTGCTGGTGCAGCTCGTTGGCAGGGCGCGCCACAGTGGGCGTGGTTATGTAGATACGCCTCTTAAAGCTACAGAGCCTAGACATTTTAGACGCGGCCTAGAGAGGGCTGCTGCCGCTCAGCTGCCCCACCCTGCCTCCAGGGTGCAATGTGACGTCCAACCACTACCGCTCCCTGCCCCCGGAGTCCCAGGGCGCTCCAGATTTCATTGGGCCAACTCCTCATCTCTTAACATGTGTAGAGGGGCCCTCCCTTCAAAGTTTGGTGCCCCTGGTCACACTACAAAGATGGGGGTGGGGGTGGGGGTGGGGGAGGGCAGCAGCCATACACCCTGGCTATGGTGGGTATCCCTGTCCATCGCCCATACTGCGCTGTTGGGTTGGCACTGTACCACATACACAAAATTTGAGAAAACATGGTCCCTGCCCCGATTTGCTCCTCACCCACATAAGCATCACTAATAGGGTTACCATATCTCATAAATAAAAAAAGAGGACCCTCCCC